TAATGTTCCCGTATTATCAGTACATTTCCTCCGAAGGTTCGTTTTTCCAATACAGCGTGTTTTTCTCGTTTTTTTTTTAATTGATTTACAGCACTGAAGAGGTACAAGTGTTATAAAAATTTTAGAAATTCAAACAATGCCGCGATTCTGTGAGGAAACATTCCCTTAAAATTTCAACTTCCCAGCTTTTCTGGCTTCCTTCTTCTTCCAATCTCACTGGCTAGAAAATTGGAAGGGGACGGAGACCCAGAAAAACTGGAAAGCTGAAATTTTAAGGGAATGTTTCCTCACAGCCGCAGCATAGACAGCCAGGGAGATTGGAAGAGGACGGAAACCCAGAAAAACTGGAAAGCTGAAATTTTAAGGGAATGTTTCCTCACAGCCGCAGCATAGACAGATGGCAGGGTGGCGACTGTCCCCTGCACAGGCCCCAATGCTTCGAAAGCTCGGGTCTGTGCACCAGGCGGACCCGTGCAGCCATCCATTTTTTGCAGTATTTCGTGCTGTAATAAGATGCTGTTGACTGTAGGAATGGAATTCTCAACCTACGGCATGCTCCTCAGTCAAAATTGCACATCTTTTTTGAGAGGCCTAGCAGGGGAACGAGGTTTTGGATTAGTTATTTTGAGAGGTCAAGCCCCTCCCCCCTCCTTCCCAAACGAGGTTCTGGATTGGTTGTGTATTGTTTTGAGAGGTCAAACCTCCTCCCCCCTCCCATATTTGGCCCTCAGTATGAGGCAGAGACACTCAAGAAGTAGCCCAGCTAATAGCAAATGCCAGTAGCAACCACTCGTTGGCAAGGCTTTCGATGGCTCCCTTTTCTCAGTGTTAAGGTTTTTGAGAGGTACCTGGCGCAAATTTTGTGCCTAAATGGTTTGCTTAGCTGGTGGTGTATTATTATGACGCGTTTTTTCGCCAATCGATAGGGCTTGCAGTATTTCAATTATATTTTACCACCCACAAAATTCATAAACGGACGTTTAAATGGGTATCCCATTGAAAAGTCCAGCCTATCCATCTGGTGTTTGATGCTATTGCTGCGCCACAGCAGCTCCTATTTTTTGGAAGCCAAAAAAACTGAGCCTGTGCGAATGGGAATTGCACTATAAAAACCTGTTGTCGCTGGGGGATTCCTCATTTATGAAGCTGATGCTTAGGTAAAGCTGAGAGTGAGTAAGGCGATGCTGCTGCTACTTTACTGCAGAAGAGTAAGGCATCTTTAGAATGCAGACCCCCCGCCCCCTCTAGCATTGGATGACTCATTCTTCTGAGGGCTGTTTAGAAACGAGTTTGGTGGCAATTTTATCCACCTTGCACATATGCCTCTGACCAAAGAAGTGAGGGGATGGGATTGATTTTCCCACCGGTGGAGTACAGCTACTGGTTATCTCTCTAGCCTGATAGGGGGGGGGGGGGGG